CGTGGACGTTTAGTTGCAGTATTTACACCTTCAGGCGTGAATCGCGGTTTCTTGGAGTAAGTTCTGTTAATGTCTGTTAATTTCCTTACTAAAAGTATACACGTTAAAAGTGGTCCATTGTTGCTAGATTCGGAGGCATATTAGGCGACAGCTTCTTTTATTCCGTCTGGAACCATCTGAATCTCAATCTCTTTGTTACTGGTCCCCGTTGAAATCATGTGTATGGATGATCTGAAACTAATTAGTTTCACCATGTAGGCTAACAGTTAATTGTTAGCCTACATGGTGTTCGGTCATAGAATAGTTTGGGATGAAAAGAATTTAGCCAATAGTGATAATTAGTTCCAACATGGGTTACAATCTTTGTGTATGGATTATTGGGGTTTCCATCGCGAACTGATCCAAGAATATAATGAACGACGAAATCTGGTCTGTCCATATAATTTACTCCTGCCTCAGTTCGTTTCTGAAAGTGTATACCGATTCGGCTGGTACTACTTGTTCGAGTAGGGTGTCTCAGACGCTGATCACTTGGTAAGGAAAACGAAATCCCACCTTATGTCTATTCGGTCTCTGTTTTTGAACATTTTTGAGATTGCCTCGAGAATAGCCTTGAGAGAAACAAAAATATAAAACAGTTTAACACCCGAGTCGAAATTTAAAACATCAAATCCGCTTTCGTAAATCTTACTAGTCTATCAGTATGCCTTAAGGCCTACCCAGAACACCTAAAATAGGCTCTAAATGCATAATGGTAAAACCAGATTTCTTACCCTCTAAGCATGCAGTTTCATCACTTCGTTTGATTCCCATAGGTAATCCTTACCATCATTGGCTTCTTGAGTTTGATACTTTGTTTTTTTTCTGCCGCAAACTGACACTATTTGGCTTTGGAATGAGAGTTTTTATTATAAATGTAAAATAATAAGGCCTTTAATAAGTATGAAGACCCACTCAACAGGCATGTGTAGACCTGTTATTAAACAGCATTTGTCGTAAATCTTGAGATGAAGCAAATACTTTTAAGAAACACCGTATTACAATCGATAAGACTTAATCTGTGTAGAGGAATATTCGGTTAAAGCAATTGTTACAGACTTGAAGATTCAGTGGTATTAATCACCTGGATTGTGAAAAAGTCTAGTCGTTAGATTACTGGTTTGAAGTAGGAATGGCTAAACACACTATTACCCAGTCAATTTTGACACATTTGACAATGGCACTGCGAGATTACACTGTCTCCAGCGTTATGGCAGATCCAATCTATCTTGACATGTGTAACAACGTGCAGTCAGCTTACTGGACAATCGCCAAGCAATCAATAGCATCAGATATCGATAAAAATATGATTAGTGAAGTAGTTGGATGCGTCGACAACTTCACTTATCTTGGAAGTCTGATCAGCTCTAATGGATTGGTGTCTGGCGGAATCTTTGGACAGATTCAGAAAGCTTGTTTAGCTTTCGCCAACTTACGTCATCTATGGCGAAGGCGAGATATCCGTCTATCAATTAAGGGAAAAGTATACTGCGCGGCAGTTCTTTCTGTTCTACTTTACGGCTGCGAAACGTGGCCATGAAGAGTAGAAGATACTCGTAAGCTACTAGTATTTGACCACAGATGCCTTAGAAATATTGCTCGCATCTTCTGGGGTCACTGGGTAAGTAATAGTGAGGTTGGACGCAGGGTATTAGGAATGATGGTAAATCAGTTGATGAGGTTGTGAATCTTCATCGACTGAGATGGTTGGGCCACATGTTGCGTATGCCTAGACACCGATTACCACGACGCGCAATGCTGACTAGTGTTGGGGATGGTTAAAAGAGTTAGGGGCGGCCAAACCAAAACGTGTCAGCAGTGCTTAAAGTCACTAACTTCTAGTGTGAGCCATGTTGGTAGATGCAGACTACTTGGTTGGGTTCGCGCAATTATCGTAACCAATGATTGGAGACTGGGTGACAAGGCTCATAGCTGACTGACCTTCGCCAAGGTCACCTATAGATGCAGTCCCATGGTAGCCAGTGACCAGCAGTTCGTTCATACGCCCTTTTGTTCCCTCAGGACCCTGAAGCCCATATGCACCATTGGTTTGGAATCAGGGTTTTCCAACTCCCCTAGGTGGACTCTCCATATCCACCAACACTGTTAAAGCGCCGGGCATTCGCTTTTCGTCCTCTCAATTCCGTAAACAACACCCCCGCCACGAGAAGGCAGTGAGTAGGACTTCCCTGGCAGAAGCTGTATACGCGTGACCATGTGAGAGCATTCCGAGAGGGAGAGCAGACTCTCTCCACTCTCGGCCGTACCAGGGCATTTGGGGGCATGTGGAATGTGTAACAGTCATAAGCCTTCGTCATATTTAATGTCGATAACCATCATGACATAATTAAGCAAAATTAAAAGTTACAATTAGTTGTATTTATAGCTTGAAGATGGCAATCAAGGAATGTGGAACGCTTTTACTTATGGCAATGTGTAGCCAATATGTACCTTTCACATTACTTTCTTTAGGAAGTGTCTTCAAGTAACACGAACACATGTGTAAACTATTCTTTCATATGATTGCATCAAATGACTAGTCTGATGCGTTTACATCATGTCCCTAAATAGCATTCAACATATATTTCGTGAAACTAGTATTTATGTTGTCCATAGTTAACATGCCATATCTACCGAAAAGAAACCTTGAGTGATATTTAGTTATTCTTTATTTGATCTAACGTTAAGCCTCAACACTGACAAATATAATTCTACATTTTCTTGCTCTGTATAAAGCTTATTTTTACTTATAAATTGAAAATTTTTAAACAGCAATACTAAAATATTTTTCGAAATGCTGCTTCACAATCCTCTAGTTTTTGCCTAAGGTGTTTAATTAATTGAGTTTCAGAAACGTCGTTTAACAAGACTCTTGTCTTTTTTCGAGCTAATCGGATATACATGTAGAAAATAGGTGTTAAATCATTGAAAAATTACCAAAAATAATCAGAAGCATTCAAATAATAAATGAAAAATTTTATAAAAATGGAGCGATATTACTTGATTTGATAAAACAAAGATTATTAAAGGACTCCAATTATTGGATATAACAGTCTTTAACTGGGAGGGCGTTGTTTCAAAGCTGCCGAAATTTTCCTAGTATTTTATATATGGATATTTTTTTCACTTAGGAAAATGACCAAAAGTTATCAAGGAATTAAGCTTCGAATAGTTTCGGACGTAATAAGAAATAGTTGTTTATACGATAAATCCAAAAATAACTTTTTATCCTACTTCAAAAAAAAGATTGGTGAATAAGGTAATAGTTAGCACTTACGACTTACAGAATTAGGAGGGGCCCTAAGACCGTGAAAAATTTAAGAAGTAGAACGTGACTCTTTCGTACACAGGTTAGGTTTAAAGCGGTGGGTTGCTATAGCTTCAGCTGTGCATAAATTCTTTATCCAAACTTTCGAACTACTTTCAAATTTGTAGATAATCCTGAATGTCGATTCTCGTAATTGCACGTGACGAGGATTAACCATATGTTCAAGGATTGAGCCGCTAAATGATTTGCATCCCTCTTTAGGTAGCTATACAACATAATGCTCGGATATTTGTTTGATGTGTGCACACTTTGTATGGCCAGTATAAACTCCACAAAAACAAGTAAACTGAAAAATGTACGTTGAGGTAGCCCAAAGCGGAGGTTTATCTTTTACACTTAACCGAATGAAGTTCTTACTAGAGAAAAGAATTCGGAGCTCCGCCGAATAGTGTCTCTTAGGGATCTGGACAGTCTGTTTATCTCCGCAACCGTATCTTCTTTGTTCATAAATAATACTTTCTTTAAGCCTATGAGAGTACTTTTAACTTGGCATTTTGATTCCAGGATATTATCAATGAACTTGGTCTCAAACCATCTTCCTGAAGTATTTTTCGAATTTTATTCAGCTCACCCTCGATTGCGTCTTCCGTGTGTATTCGTTTTGTTCTTGAGGATAGAGGACAAATTAGATTTCTGTTCCTACTCAACAGCACCCAACTCTGGAAATTTTTATGCTGCTCATTCCAGGGTGGCTTTATGAATATCGATAATCGTAGAGATCCATATGGTTTTCGTCTCAGTAAAACACCAAGAAAATAAAGTTCCGAATCCGAACGAGGTTTTATTTTGAACGTGATTGGATAGTGCAGTTATTGAAATCTTTTAGTACCTTATTATGGTCGCTTTTCGTCACAAATGATGAATAGATTACCCATAGATATTTTATAAAAACAAGATTTTCTCGATCGTGGTTCGAACGATAGTGTCCTCTATCACGAAATCAAAAGACTTGATTTCATGAATCCAACAACCAACGTCAATGTATTGGAAAAAAAAGTGATATCGTTAGACCACTTCTCTGTTCACGAAACAATTTATTTTTTATACGATCATACTGACCATGAAAAAGTCAACATCAAAGTTGCAAATACTACCTAAAAGATCTACTACTAGACAAATAGATAATGTTGCATTGGAATCATTGGGTCCTCTTGTAACAGACTGTTTTTCGGCCAACCTACAGAACATTGTCCTTCGAGCAACAAGCGATAAGTCTTATTTTACTAAATAATGCAATATCCATTTCACGTTTTACTTAAAAACTTTCGGCAACTAGTTATTCTGAATCAACGCCCCCTTGTTTGTAGACTGTTATATCCAACGATGCCATACTACTTCATTTTTATGAACTTTCCTACTTGATACTTGTGGTTATCGTTGGTAAATTTGTTTTCTTTTATTGTTGACTAATACATGTAAAAGATTACCCTTAAATATGATTGTAAAGCTCAATAAAATTGATATAATTGAAAAGAAAGTTTTCTTCGCTAAAACATCTTCATTCTTTTTTATTAGTCAGTGGGTTTCGTTTTTATTCAGTATTTGTTTATCAACATATTTCATATTTGACTAAATGCATAATTACAATTACAGAAGTTATTTTTCAGAATAAAATGACATTCAACCAGTTTAGATGTCTACATACCCGTTGAATATGATGTTGCAACACTTGGTAAGTCTGGTATAAATCTGCGTGTCACTACTTTGTAAGATTCCAATAATAATTTAGCTTAATCCTTAGAATTCTCATTATTTAAAAAATACCTATGTATAAGAATGTTACTGGTGCTCTAATGTCTTGATTACTGATTTTGTCATTTGTTCGATTGATCGTTTGTGTGTGTGTTGATTACTCTTGTCTTTGCGAAACGAAATGTATTCTAGTTGTTCAATAGATAGAAAATAAAACGTATGGTCTAATACAACTGCATCGTTTAGGTAGTATCCTGCATTCTACAGTAGTATCTCAAGGTAAACATAAGATGTTAAGCAGAACGGAAGTCATCAACCGATAGATTGATCAAAAGCTAAAGATGTATGTAGAGATGCCCTTGTTTTATTAAGTCACTTGAGAATGATAGCCACTAATATCAGTTATCTCGTGAACCTCAACTTATCAACCACCTACATTTCTCTAATATAATTTAAACTGGCTACTGGGATTCCTCCACTTTCATCATTCAGCTACTATTCCATTCAAAATATTAATTTTCGTTAAGAAGTAGCTTTCCCATCAGCGTTCTTCATTTTTTGTTTCCAATTCTCTTGACCGATTTTCTTTCATTATCTAAGACCTGTAACTTCGACAGCATGTAGACAAAGGATCTATCACACCTAAATGAGCGATTTCTCAAAGATATTACTGAACAAGTATGAATATTCATAGTATTTGTATTTGTTGGACGTTCGACATTCATTTCTTGAGCGATTTGCAATCGCTGACAGCAGTTCACAATAAAATTAGACCGAAATAAACTAAAAAATTGCGGTTTTTATTAATTTGATTCTCAATTACCTGTGTCTAACGTAAAATCATTGTTTTTATTCCCTCACTAGCTAACTTACGTACGTTCATTTTGCTCAATTCGATATGTAGTTAAATTTTTACCAACCGGTTCGTTGGCTCCGAGATTAAATATTTATAGTCATGTATTATTAAGTAAAAATGTAAAACAGTATGATGATTGTGCGTGTTCGTCATCAGATTCCAATGTGGTAAGCTCATTTATTATTATTTTATTTTTATTTGAACTTATTATGTTTATTTTTCATGTACAAAATTATGTACACTTTATATTTGGTAAGTATATTCGGTTTTTTATTATTAATGAGAGCAGGTCCTTCATGTGTTTATTAAACCTAGCTTTGCTCATGTTTAACGACTGGCGGAGTTTCATCATCGCCATCTTCAAAGGACCACTAAAATGACATCCGGTGGAAAGATCATGGTAGTAATGTAACCCGGCAATTTGTTTGGATGCAATTAGTGTCATCGTCTTGAAACACCAGCCTTGGTGAAATGGGAATGTTTCGTAAATATCATCCCAGTGGCTTCTGTATTAAGAATTAATCACCGACTCTAGGGCAGAATAGAAATAGAGGTGGTTAGTTAATGAAATGACACCGTGGTTTGAAAGGTAGTTCTGTAAGACTGATATCTTAGTCTCCCTCAATGTTTTATCACTTTTCACTAATGTCACCCCTCTCGTGGAACCATTTGTCTTATCCACAAGTACATCAGTAGCGCTATGTTAAACATTAAAATATAATAAATAGATAAACAATTACATAGGCATGGCTCATGCTCTAAGTGTGTAGAATATCGATTCCCTATCTAGAAGTATTATCATAGAGAGATGTATGTGCTCGAAATCGTTTGCAATGACGCATGTGCATCCAGTCTTTGTGTTCTCCCAAATTCTAATCTTCTGAATTCTTCATGCCCCTTTTTTCTCTTTCCAAGTTTATTTCTCTGGATTATACTCCCTGAATAACATCTTCAGACCCTAAAGTTTCCGATTACTGCTTATACTCTTACTACTTCTACCACTACGGGATTTGAATCGACAACTGCATCTCTGTTCTAATGTGGTATGGCAACTCGAACTGATGTACGTACGTACGAAGTTTTACGTTGTTACTGACTGTATCTGCAGTGTACATTTTACGTTTAACGATACAATTTGCAAGGATCTTCCCCTATATCTCTTAATACTTAATTAATTTATGAATAGCCCCCAAATGCCCTAGTGCGGCAGAGAGTGGGGAGAGTCCGCTCTCCCTCTTCAAATGTTCTCACATGGCCACGCGTATATAACCTCTGCCAGGGAAGTCCTACTCACTGCCTTCTCGTGGCGGGGGTGTTGTTTACGAACTTGAGAGGACGAAAAGCGAATGTCCGTCGCTTTAGCCGGATTCCAAACCAATGGTGCACATGGGCTCCAGTATCCTGCGGGAACAAATGGCGTATGAACCAATCGTTGGTCACCGGCTTCCATGGGGCTGCATCTCCTTACGATGCTCCACTGCTTTGTGGATCAGACCTTCAGGTCGAAGACTCGGGGAGTGGCCCCCTAAGAAAGCAACCTGCTTCGGTTTGGGTACCCGGGCAGTATCACAGCCCTCACACATATCGAATGAGATTTGTGCGGCGCATATTATTTGGTGCCTCATCGTACCGATTTTTATGTTAAAATAAATAAATAATAAATTTATGAATAAGAGATCAGTATTGTTAACAGTAAATTATAAAATGGATCTTAATAAGAATTCCTCTTGATAGAAATTCGATTCTCTAGTAGTTATTAAAATTTTTCGATAATTTCATTATTTAATGATCACAATAATTAATCTATTTTTTTATTATTTATTCTACATATTATTTTATTTTAGTTATATACTTCAAGTTATACAGATCTTATTGACAGTAATGATGATAATTATGACGAACAAAATCGGAATTCATATCTAACTTCTTCACCCTGTTATAATGACAATCGAAATACTGTTTTAAATTCATTTTCTATTTCTAATTCACGTAAAAATTTTAAAAATGATCAAGAATCTAATATTCCAGTGTATTATGTTGATTCATTTTCCAATACATATACTAGTTTCCCAAATTCTGAAATAAAATCTTTAAAAAACAACACTGGTGATAATGATAGTCAGAAATTAATTATAAAATCATCAAACAAATTACAGTACAATAATTATAGATATCGTCGAAAAAATAAAAGAGGTATGTGAGTTTATCTTTTGTATATTTTCGGTAAATTGAATGTAAAATTTTGCGTACTGTAGCAAAAATAAGTTTATGATGGTAGATGGTTAGAGCTGATCGGCAGGAACTTCTAGCTTAGGCCTTGTGCTAGTCGACACTTATTAGCAATATGTAAGTTGAATCTTAAGGGAATCTTACAGAGTGAATCAGTTCCCGCAAGATTTTAGGTACACCTTGCTTACGAGGGTCAATCATCATCTAGGGTATCCTACAGATTAGTTCCAACCACTTAACATCTCAGTTTAGTGGACAAATTGTTCATATACCAGCACTAAAAGAGGACTTGAAAAACATGACATTGGCCACTACTACTCAGTAGTCAGCAAATGCTACAATAGTTTAGTAGTTATATCTCATAATACTAAAAAATTAAACAACTCGAGTTTGAATCCCGCATAAAGCATCAATTCTCTCAGGATTGCTAACAAGTGTAAAGTAGCACGAAGCGTAGATTGAGCAATGTTTCCTGCCGATTTTTTCCAAATATTTAACATTATCAGCATAGTGCAGGTGTTTTTAGGTCATTTAGACTGATGACTACATTGCAACATGGAATGCGACCAGCATTGAAGGATTAGGCAAACATGGGATTGGTCATAGCTCCGTGACTGATCATTCGTAAAGATCTTTTTTGCACACGTACTGTAACACATATCAGTGTTAATTACATTAAAGTGCAACTACTATGTCATTAGCTTATACGATTGTCAATTTAGATACTCTGACTTATACGACCAACTAATGACGCATACATCAGCACGAGCAGCCTAGAGTTCTTATTGGTTCTTTTTCTGCCTAGTCCTGCCTGTTAGCTCCAGAACATCAGTATCAGCCTTCACTAACCGAATCATGTACTTCAAACATAATGGGTTTATGTACAAACCAACCAGATCACATCATACTATAAATAGAAAATAACAATTATACAAGATCAAGCCCAAAGTGGCTGTAATTGTGAGAGATTGTTACTAATAAATTGGGAATATCTCAAAAATAGTAAGTCGTATGATAATAGTCAATAGGTCAAACTAAAGTTTATAATAAATACACATATAATATAGTTACTTAATAGTCATACAATAAGAATATATGTATAATATTAGTCCATCGATAGATCCCATTAGTTACCTTTCAATATTCTCGTCGGGATATAACAGTAACATACACTCATCGTTTCCATAAAATGTTATGTTCATAGTAAGTGTTGTCTACTTGGAATCACTTGTACAACCAGCCTTAGTAATTCATGTCACGATCATAAGAATATGAAATATTTGAAGTGTTGCTGGATTATGACATTCATCTGTTAGATAATCTTATCTATTGAACTAATCACGGAAGTATACATCTTATTAATTTGCTTGTATAGCACAAACATTTCGGTAAAACAGATTTTAGATTCACTGACATCAACATACTCGAGGTCAGTTAGAGTCAGAAGATTATTTTCGATTCTTAAAATGTTAATGTATGAATATATCTAGAAATAATTAATGATTGTACAATAAATAGCAATTAACTTAAATTAAAACTCACATTCATTAGGGTTAAACTCATCAACACCAATCGACTCTTAGCATGGGCAAGCACAATGATAACCTGTTCAATATGGTCGGACAGGTAAAAATTTGTTTACAATTAACAAATAAAGCACAAAAACAAAGTTACACTATGAAAGAAGACTAGTTACACATTAGTAATAGAGTTGTTAGTCACAAATCTCACCGAAGGAATGCGCTACACAGCGTAAAATAACAATGTCTGTAAGAAAATAGAAAGAGATCAAGATCAAGTAATCCGTTTTATAAGTTGACGAAAGTGATATTTGATTTTAAAAAATCAGTTCATTTGGAATCCAAATAAAACAAATTTCGTTCAATCAGTAAAAAATCCTTTTATAAAGAATATGAAAGAAAACTAAAGTGGGTCCTCCACTGCGTTTTTTCCGAATCATTTCTGAAAACGTCTCATGTCATTGAGTTACATGATTCCTGCGACCCACCCCTTTCAATTAGGCACTTGTACTAAACCAAAAGATCTCAGTCCTATACAAATTTCTCTTCTACACCATGTCACCATATCCATTTCAAGTGACATCTGTCCATGTTATTTCGTTGTTTAATGAAATTCATTCTCACAAAATGGAGTTCTGGAGGCTGTTGAATTTTATCGAAATCATGAAACCATCCAAGTTAGACCATCGTTGAAAACCTAGGAGCACTGGTTGGGCGCCCACGAGCAAAGTTGTGGATGCACACTACTGGAACGAAACGACTGTTCAGTGCTTCCAGGTTTTCAATGGTGGCCTAACATTGATCGGTTCATGATTTCAATGAAACTTCACAATCTTATGGGGAAAATGCTGTTCATTTATTTTTACAATTGATTTCTTTTATGTTGCATACGATAAAATTTTGAAACAAAATTACTCTTCCATCGATATAATAGGTGATTGATATCAGTCACTTTTCAATAAATAACACGTAGATTCTAAGAAAAAACATGCACTCTAAACAATGGAGTTTTGAATTACTATAATTGTAGTAGTAAGAACAAAAACAGTGAATACAGTTATAAAAAAGACGCATTTATCAGAAATAAAACTCATGATTTGATAGAAGATAAACAGTGAATACATCTGTGATATTGCTACCGATTTCAAGCTGTATTATAGCTGAAGTCTCGAAACTCTATCCATTGTGATCATCATATGGACCTAAAACAGAAAGTCAACACCTTCGCACGACTCACACCCGACTACTGATCAATGGCTTTATGAAAACTGATAATACATCCGTTTTTGGCTTGACTTCTTCCAGCTTGTTCTTATGTGCAAACAACCACCACTGCACGTATTTGAGTTGACAGTTGAATATTTGGATTTGACAGACTTTTCAATTGTCGTAAGCATGTTTATTTTTATTATTGGTGAGTAGTGACTTACTAATCGTAAACGTTTTATCTTCATGCTGAAAAACATTTTTTTCTCAAATAGGAAAGCGCTTTAGAGATTCTACCAAAAATAATGGCAAACTGTATGATAATAATAATAGTACTTCAGACACTACAAACACCTCTGATGAACATTTTCATTCATCATCTAGATCAAATCGTATTTCACAATTGGAAGCCGAACTTTCTCGTTTAAGATCACAAATTGCTCAATTAATTTTAGCCCAAGAATTAGGTAAATCAAGCACGTCTGACGTAGATCGAGATCGTTTTCTTCATCGTCCAGATGCAGATGGTGAGAGTGATACTGCCACTACTACTGCTGCCATCGCTGCCACAGGATCACCTATTCTGATGCAACATGATAAAACAAAGTTTTACAACAATCTGTCAGAATTTCCTATTCCTTCAGTTAGTTCAACTTCAACATCATTAATACTACCTCCACCACCAATACCCCCTCCACCGCCGCCACCACCACCACCGCTCATGATTTCTTCACCTGCACTACAAGGAGGTAGTAGTAATTGGAGAGAACAATTGCAAGCAAAGCTAAGAAGTAAAAAGGTATAGTTGAAAGAAATTTAGTCCTGTCTATGTATGTCATTTTTCATTCACAGCTAGGAACATTTTTCATTATTAATCGTTGGTTTTTTCGGTTAGACCAAACGACAAGGTTTATTGCTGCATACATCACATTTCATGCTAAAATTTTGAGTAGACTTTGAGCATAAAATTGTCCTTTTTAATTATTTCTCATGAGTATTTCCTTAAGATCACAATGTATTTGATGATGGACCTTTTTTCTACCATCTGTCGGAAAAGGTACTCATTATCGTGTGTGTGAAAGAAAGAGAGGATATCAAATAATTATTGCATTGGATTGTTTCCTTTCCATACACATATTCAAACATTTTTTATATTTAACCATGTTTTTTATTACTTATTTATTTAAACACATAAACATTGGTTCAAAGAGGTACCAATATATATATATATATATATATGCGCCACACAAATCAATGAATTTTTGTCGGCTGGGATACTTCCAGGGTTCCCAAACCAAAGTAGGTGGTTTTCTAAGTGACTCACTACCAAGAGGTCTGATCCACAAGGCAGTAGAACAACGTTAGAAGATGCAGTCTTACGACAGCTAGTGACCGAGAATAGGTCCATAATCCATTTGTTCCCTCAGGATCTAGGGGCCCATGTACACCATTGGTTCTGAATAAGAGTTTTCCAACTGCTCTAGCTGGTCTTCCGTGACCATCAACCCGGCTTAAGCGTCGAATATTCACTTCGGAAACAATTAAATTCTCGTTTGTTTAATATTATGAATTTCTCAGGGAGAAGTAGCTACATATTCTTGGATTTTAACATTCCCGAATCTGTTATCACATTTAATACTGGTAAAAGTCTATTTACATTCATAAATCACTGAGTAGTTGTCATGGTCATATTTGTTTAGTCTTTAATATTGATAAACCTCTGTTGATTTATAGGTTACTAGTCTAAGTGATCCAACATCTTGTGCACTATATTTTAGTTTAACCTTCAGAAGACACTGTTCGATATAGGTTTTTGTGGTAGTTGCCATTTACCAACAAAATGAAACTGCCAATCTCCAAGGTAGTGATTATTCCTAGTGAGTTCGAACACGAGTCTCCACGTTTCGGTCTTAGGCGTTGCCACTGATTTATTTGGACAGTGATCCACCTCCTGGAATACTGAGATATTTACATTAGTTGATCATTGAATATTGGTCTTTATTCTTTTAATCTTTCCTAATTGTAGTTGACTATTGATTATGCATATAATTTGTATTTTGGATGAATAATTTAACATGTAATTATTCTTTTATATTTGTTCAACTACTAATGTACTTCTTATTAGTAGTTCAGTGAATGCTATTTGTTTTTATACGATCAAATATCTGTTGAACTACTGATGAGTTGCTATCCGGAGAATTTCATTTTTGGTATAATGATGGTGATTAATCGACGTTCAGTAAAGTAAATTATGAATTTACAGCTGTGGGTTCACACTAATACGGGGACTACTTGGAATGAATACCAAATCTATGAACATGAGAAAAACTTTTATTTTCTTATTTATTCTTCTTAATTTAGGAGAAATTGTTCAGTTATAATAACTTTGTATGTCTTTTTTAGAATAATTCCACGGATAAAACATCTACACCAATAAAAAGTAATTTTTCGACGTCACAAAATCCCGCCGACATGTCACAAGTATTGAAAGAATTACAAAGTGGATCTATTAAACTACGTTCAATACCAAGATCACCTGGTGGTACACCGATAAAACAAAAACAGTCTCCCACAATCAGGTGAGGATGTTTCGTTTATGTGGTGAGAGCGGATTTTCATCGCAGTTCTATTACCATTAATTGTGTTCATTTGTTTTTTGCTCTAGTGGCTCTGATCCATGTGCAATTATCGCTCGAGCACTACACTCTAAATTTTCACATCTTCGTTCTATAATGGACAATTCTATTAGTGATGAAGAAAAGAACTGTCAGTCGAATATTCATCTTGACTCTGGTTTAGGACCTGGATGTGAAGATATTTGGTCACCCAAACGTAAACCCAACGGTTCTCCCCATTCATTGGTATGTCATTTCTTTTGTCATACTGATTCTATCGAAGGGATAGTGAACGTACATCACATCTAATATATATTGGAAATCTTAAAGTCTAATATTCGAACGAACACAATATGATTATTAATAGACGATACTAATGACCTGAGACTGAGGAAGATACTACAAAGCAGACGTCACTTCAGAGCCGACATACCATTCTATTTCTTAATATACAGACGGCTATTTCGCTAGTGCTTCTTTTGGAGAAATTCTGGAGGAAAAGTGGTAGTATCATGCAATCTAACTACTAAGCAGTTAACTGTGCTATTCTGTACACTGCCATCCGGCATTATCAACATGATCACGGTTGTAAAGGTTTTCTCTGAGTAAATTGTCTAGGCTACGATAATGCACCTTCGTCAAGGCGATATAGCTCAGAATCGATCACAATGGCGTAGGTGTATGAACTCTGTCTTCCCTTAAACCGTGAGATTAAAATTGCTTTGTATCTTTCTTTATACGAACTAATTCTTTCTTCCTATATAATATCCCTATATGCAATCTCTCCTTTATATATTACCACCACTGAATTAACTACTATGAACCCGGCGTTCATCTTGTTGTGTTAATGAGGTATGGCAACTTGTACCGGCATATATATATTCCTGGTCCTACGTTGTAGCCGACTGACCTTCGCCAAGGTCACCTATAGAATATTACTCGTAGTGACGTTGGGACAATACGGAAATATCATTGTCTACATCGTCCTCTTCATATCAGCTAATGTATTAAGTACTCAAATGATTGTATGCGACTCAACACGTAGGGAACAACCCAGATATGCCATTAATACTTAACAAGAATATCACATAGTTGATAGCCATTTATGTTAACCTTCCCATTAATCAGTTCGCAACATACTGAAGTAAAGCTGGGATGTCGTGCACGGTTTTAGCAGTAATATATATAATTCTAATTTAACCATGTGCTACTTTCACTAACTAGTTTTTCACAGTAGGTAGAGTCAAGGTGGGACCATTCGTAGGTGTTTAAAGTGAGGATACTCCAACAAATAAATCCCATATGCCTCTTATATTCGGTTTAATGTGTATGTAATACTAATATTTCAATTCGTTCTTTTTCAGATTTTTGGCCAGCACATTCTCCGCCCAGTCAACCGACGTACAGACAAGACCAATTAAAACATCCAACTCGGATTCCTACGATGTACTAATTGGATGCTATGACTTTCACAATAGTTATTATTTTACAGATCCTGATTATATACCCTATCATACCTTGCCTACTCTTTCGGAAAAACTATGAGCATTGAAATAAATTGCTCTGCTTCATATGTTTTGACTTGTTAGTAATGTACTCAAACATTTTTGTTTAGAAAACTCACATCGGTGATGTTTATTGCTCAGACACCAATGCATCTAGTATATTTATCTCTTTATCCTTTAGAATTAAATGCACTGAATGCGTTATGCTTACAAAAAACATCAGTAGAGTCACTGGTAAGGTTTGACCATGAACTGAGTCGAGACAATATCAAAGCTAGCAAATATCGTATATTTTGTGTTGAGGTTTCCATGATAAGGTATTGAATACAAAAAGTACTACGATTACCATCATTGCATGACAGTAACCACTGTTTTCATTAGAACATTGGTGGCGGATTGCACGGAACATCGAATTCGTCTTTGTCTTCGTACTAACCAGCCAAAAAAGTATAGGAAATCACATTTATGTCACTCTACGTTTATTAATTGGGGTTTAAGGAATACAGAACATCTTTTCAAAAGAGTGGGATGTGATATTTAATATAAAATATTAGGGAGCGGATAGGTATTTTTGAACATTTTATTCCATGCTGCTGTCGTTAACCGACCGGCGAGGTCGCACAGACTCGACTTTCTCTATCTGGAAAAAAACAAATCTGCTTAGTAAGGCAGAAAGTAAGAAGTCAACTTAATAGTCATTGAGAGGAATATGTAACAAGAATAACAAACAGTCTGAGTACCTCAAGGTTAAAAATATCATAAGTACTACCCCTAGGAACAAGTTTATACGCGCGTATTTCACATGAAGCAGTTATTAAGTGCGCTTTGAATGCTTTAAGCAACAAAAATAAACAACCACAATTTGTAACTAATCAGCACAAAACGAATCAGAGTCGAGTGAGTGGTTACGTTGGTTTTAGCTACTTAGGAAAAGGCAGAATCTTTATAGCAAACAGTAAGTACATTCGGTCTGATTAATAGTATTTTGGAGGACAATTCGTTAGAGATTAAATGTAGGGAACAGTAAAACAACCGTTTTGAACCACACACACACTGCCCTTTGTGTTATCTCCCGAAGAGGCTATGAGTCTAATCAGGACTCCAAAATCGTCATCATATGACTTGGTTTATTTTGAAGGGTCGACGTTAATGACAACAGTTATCCTATGAACTGACAACTAAGTATTACCTCGTAGTTGGTGTGCATTTTCTCACTTCGGAGGTTTCTTATAACCTTTCTGAATGTGAAAATCAAGCGAACGCCAGTCAGTAAAAAGCAATATACATGATAGGATAGGAATAGCCTTTTACAAATAGATTTGGTCCATGTCGTAAATCAAAGGAGCAATACGTTGCGAAAAATTACTTGGGTGAGGATTCACAGTGCGGTGGACATTCATGCCTAAGAAGTAAATGATTAGTTTACACATACTAGGCTTGATGTTAGTGAACTGGGTTTGCTGTGGCACCTGTAATCAAACTCGGTGTCACTGAGGAACGTTGAGGCTGATTAAGACGCTATCATGAGGCTTGACTATACCGTTTTATATGCGTTGGTATTGTAGTAGGTTTCGCCGGTGAAAATAATTACTAATGCGTGTCACCTTAAGATCCCCAGAATTCTAAACCCACTTAAAAAATGACAAAGCTATGAGGAATATATAAATACATAACTATGGATCTACCTCCAGCTGGCACTGATGAACTATATTTTGTAGGTGAGAACGTCTGTTGTTTTCCTTATTGGACATATCGTCGTTGATCTGACGAAGCAGGATACTTTGTGGGGAAGCACGGGCATCCGCAAGTTGTTTTGCTTTCTCAATCTAAAAGACAACTTATAACGTTTCTTTTTTTACTTCTTTCTTGTTCTTATTAACTATCTTGTCGATAATCTGTTGCCGCCTAGACGACTTCTGTGCCAAATCCTCCGTGAGATTCTCCATTAATTCATTTGATCGATTTACGAGCTTCTCTTTCTCTTGTTCACATTTAGACTTAACTAAATGGACATGTTGCTCATTTCGATTTATAGTTTCCTGAAAGATTATATAGCCCTATTCTTCAACTTACAGCCAGAACGTTAGATCGTCTTTCCCGAGCTTTCTCTAGCCTTTCATTTAAGTCAGAATCATTCCGAACATAATTCGGAGATGAAAGCAGGCGTAACGCCCTAGGAGACTGGATCTCGTCTCGTATTGGTATTTCAAACGACACACTACAATTCAAATTGTTAGTCCCCATCAGTAAAATACAATTTTGATCCCAGCAGACTAGTTTTAAGCGCGGTAATATTTACTGTGTCAAACAACAAATTCACCTTGAGATTTGTAATTTTAAGATTGCAGACTTTCTCTAAATATACCGCTGTCCTTGTCATCTAATATCTTAAAATAAGTACATAGGACAGTTACCTATGCAATTCCAGAATTATAATGTTCAGCAGAACCAGGGTGGCCTAGAACATAGATATTGTTACTCTTTCTTCAGATGTATGGGAGGTGATCTGATTTTGATATAAAGAAATAATTTTGGGCCTGATATATCCTTTTTTTCTAAACCAATAGATTAGAACAGAAGAAGTGTCAAAAGCTGAGAACGAATAAAATCATCGTGGTATACGAATTTTCCCAAAAAACTTATTACTCGAAGAAGGAGCATCCTCACATGTAATTGACTTGTTCAAATGAAGAACAGAGTCTAACATAATATGGATTGAAAGGAGCTAACACAGGCCTTCGGTTTTCTGTTCTCAGCGTACAAATGTAAAAACAAATATGTATAATCACTTGATTCTCTTCTTAACACTAACTATCCTTACATTTCATGCCATTTGTTTTTCTCTCTTACTTGGTTGTGGACAAAATGAATGAGGTTTTTGACTATGAGCCACAATGTGGATTGTTGTATCATGTTCATGCGTCTACCTCCTGTATGTCTCGGCCTATGATATGATATTCATTGGCTTTAGCTTTTAATTCATTGGTTAGTGATTTATGATCCATATAAACCATGAATTCTCTGCCTTCAGATATATGTTGAAAACGCCTAATAGCTAGGTGTAGTGCGAGTCCGCGTCTATGGGGAGAGTATCTCGTCCCTGCTTGAGTGAGTCGTTTTGAGAAGAACGCGATCGGTTTCCAGGCGTTTTCAACCAGTTAGTTAATAATACTGCCTACTACTTTGTCCGAAACATCCACCATCAAAGCGAGAGTGTAATAGGAATTAGGATACATCAACGTAGATGCTTGAGCTGGCTTTTCTAGCTGTTTAACGGCCTTAGAAGTCAGTTTAAATTATTTTGATTTTCTTTTTAAAGGAGTCTGTCAGACGTTGCAACACGTATGTATGACTAAGTATGAATCTACTGTAAAAGTTAACTAAACCCTGGACTCTTCTAAGTCGTATGAGAGAACTTGATATTATGTATTGTCTAATGGTGTCCATCTCTTCTTCGATAGCTGTATTCCCTTTTGGGCTCACTGTGCAAAGTTTGAACATTAAAAACATATTTTGACGTGTATTCACCCCATCTTCATCCAGACGTCTCAACACTGCTCTCATGTGTTGTTTGTGTGATATTAAATCTGGACTGGTAATCAACAAATCGTCTATATGCACCTGTTCAAAAGGCATATTTCTATCTTTAACATGAAACAAGAGACTGTTCAGGCACCTCATCTCAGTCGTTGCGACTTGGGGAGGGGTTATTTTTTCCCGTATTCATAGGAGCCTGTTTAGATCAGGTGTATGTTGACTTAATCTGGTTGATTTAAAACCAAACTTCCAGTGATACTAAAAGAACCATCCAGATTGTCTGAACGTTTGTGGCCTACTATGTAACATGGATCTTGGTGGTTTTGATGACCTGTTTCGGTAACTCACTTGCATTTTGGTGACAGTCTCTGTGGGACTTTTAACACACGCAATGCGTTCAGCTGCGATCATTCCTTTTGATCATTCCTGATTTTGTGTATGATGTATCGTACGTGGAACTCTTGAATAGGCCAGTTCCATTGAATCCACCGGACATCGAAGCAACACTCACAAACGTTCTCATAGATATTACTCCACCAAAAGACGAAGAAATTAGGATTGCCATCAGACAAATGAAGAGCAGGAAAGCACTAGGACCTGACAATATACCACTTGAAACACTTAAGACAGATACAGAAGTGACAGCAAACATTCTTCACATTCTGTTCAAGAAGATTTGGGAGGAAGATCAAGTTCCGATGGACTGGAAAGGAGGACACCTTATCAAGATTCCAAAGAAAGACAAGTATGAGAATTACGGAGGCATCACACTAAAAACAGTACTAGGAAAAGTCTTCAGTAGAATCGGGTGGGAGATTCAATAAACGCACAACTTCAGAATCAACAGGCTGGATTCCTTGAGGATCGGTCGTGCACAGATCCCTGTTGAACGACCAATGGAATGGAACTCACTATACATCAACCACCTTGGTTATGAGAAAGCAAGTGACAGTGTGGATAGAAGAACACTATCTAACCTTCTTTGACACTGTGGTGTGCTCGAGATCGTGAACATCATACGCAATTTATAGGACGAACCACACTGCAAACTCGTTCACGAAGGTCAGCTGACAGATGCATTTTGGGTGAGGACCGGAGTCAGACAAAGTTGCTTACTCTCCCTCCTCCTCTGTCTCCTGGTGGTTGACGGGATAATGAAGACATGTACATCTGAGAAGAATCACGGAATACAATGGACAGCTTGGACGCGACTAGACGATTTGAACTTTGCAGATGACCTAACCCTCCTATCTCCTACACACCAACAAATGCTGGACAAAATAGATGGTTTAGTAGCAGCCTCTGCATCAGTAGGCCTCAACACACACAAGGGAAAAACCAAGACCCTCAAGCACATCATGGAAAACACGAACCCAGTAATACTTAATGGAGAAACTGCTAAGAATAGGGAAGTTTCACGTATTTGGGTAGCATCATCGATGAACAAGGGGGAT